CGAGAGGGATAGCGCTCTACCAACTCGTTTCGGTGAATGGAGTATAGATGTGAACACAACGTGCAAGACGGGTCAGATTAAATAACTATAAAGACATTACGTTACAAAATAATTAACACTAAATTAAATTAATAAAATCTATAAAAGACATTTTCTAATTGAATTCCTAGCCGAGACCACAGAACCAGAAAAAATGTCAAATTCAAATCTGATACCGTTGTAAGAAGAGCACATGCGATACAGCGGACAGTGTTGACCGAGGTTAGTTCTACAAGCAGGGAGCGAGAATGTTTTACGGTTTTGCAGACGACTACCAGGACGGGGGATGGAGAAACGTAAACGTTGAAGGATGTCAGGTGCGTCTATGACACCGTGAATAAGTTTAAATAAGAACATCATATCAAGAGTTTTTCGGCGTTTTTGCAGCGAGGACATGTTGAAGTGTAAGAGACGTGACTCATAAGAGAATAGCTGTTTACACTTAAAATTGTTGTATGTTAAATGATAAAGGAAACGTTTTTGAATACTTTCAATTCTATTTGAATGAACTTGATAACACGGGTTCCAGACAGTGGAGCAATATTCTAAAATACTACGTACTAAACTGTTATAAATTAGAATAGATATAGTTGGTTCATTGAAAATTTTCATTTGCCTTGACACAAAACCGGTTAGCCTTGAAGCTTTGGAAATAACTGAGTCAATGTGCTTACTAAAACTTAGGGTAGCGTCCATGACGACACCCAAGTCTCGAATATTATTAACTTCTGTTAATGGTACATTGTCTATGAAATAAGTCACCTCTAAAGGCTTCCGGCGTCTAGTAAATTTTATATGGTAGCATTTATCAGTGTTTAGGACCATACAGTTGTCACAACACCACTGATGGATTCTGTCGAGATCGTTCTGAAGTAGTTGGGCGTCCAAAGGCGAGTTAACAGTTCTGTATAGCTTTAGGTCGTCAGCGTACATTTTAAACTTGGACGTTATTGAGAAAGCGATATCGTTTATAAATATAAGTAAAAAGAGGGGTCCAACATGAGAACCTTGGGGTACACCGGATGACACCAATGCCAGATCGGATCTAAAGCCACAAACAGAAACCAACTGAGATCTATTGCGTACGTAAGACTCACACCATCTTAGCAACGATCCGTGAATACCCATCTGTTCCAACTTGTATAGGAGAATATCATGGTGCACGAGATCGAATGCCTTTTTAAAGTCAGTGTATATTGAATGCACCTCATCACCCCCATCCAAAGCATCCGACAAATCAGATACATACTCTATTAGATTTGAGGAAGTAGATTTATGGGGCAAGAATCCGTGCTGATTGGTATTAATTAAGTGCTTGACATGTGAGTAAATTTTAGTCTGTACCAGCGATTCTAAGATTTTACCAGCCGTTGATAGAATGGAGATAGGTCTGTAATTGGCGATGTCCTCCAAACGTCCTGATTTGTGGATAGGGGTGATGTGCGCAGTTTTCCACTTGGTTGGAAAAATACCAAGTTGCAATGACTTGTTGTAGATCGTGCTAAGTGGTTTGTACAGTACTTCGGCACAGTTTCTGAGGAAATGTGGTGGGATCAAATCATGTCCAGGCCCCTTGTTATGGTCAAGACATTTCAGATACCTGAGCACCTCGTCCTCAGTTACAATAACATCACTAAGAGGGAAAGCATTATGATAAGCATTGATCGTGCATTTAGTCAAACTAATTGGCTGATTACAAGTACTATAAATGGATTGAAAATGTTTCGAGAATAGATTGCATATGCTTTGACCACCAGTAACTGAAGAATTACCCAGAAACATTGTATGGGGTATTGCGGACTCATTAGATTTACGGCCTTTAGAAAATTTCCAGAAGTATTTTGGATTTGTTTTAAGGTGGTGTAACGCATTATTTTTGAAAGTTTTGTAACAATCATCAATCATTTTATCACACCTCTTTCTAAGCATATTAAAAGTAACCTGGTCCAATGGATTGTTATATTTTTTAAATTTACTATGATATTTAGCCTTTTCCTTTAATGCTTTGATCAACGGTCTAGAGTACCATACTGGGTACTTACTATCACGGGTAAAGGAGGATGGGGTATGCTTCTTGATTACTGGAAGAAGTATGTTGTAGAACTTATCGACCATTTCATCTATATCCGACCCATAAGTATGCAATTTAGACCAATCAACGTTAATGAGCTCGCTACATATGGCGGTGTAGTCACATGCCAGAAAGTTCAAGTTTGATGATCGTTTAGGTTTTATATTTGTAGTGGCCGACGTGATTCGAAAATCTATAAGTAATGGTGGGTGATAAGGATCGATTGGCACAAGGGGCTGATCGGCCTCGTTTACAATAACACAGTTAGGTCTGTTCGATAAAATAAGGTCCAGGATTCTATTTCCGTCATTTCTCACAGAGTTACATTGAAAAAGGTTATTGTATGCTAGGGAATCAATTAAAGTGTTATTAATGGTGGAATTTGACGACAACGGTATGAGTGATGTGCTATTAAAGTCAGGGTCCCTGGACCATACAATCTCACCAAGATTAAAATCTCCCAACACAAGAGTAGTTGTGTCGCGAGGCAACTTATTGTGAATGACATCTGAGACATTATCTAGAAAGGACTCCAACGAAGCCAACAATGGTGGAGGAGGTACATACGTAGCACAAATGGCAAGATTTTTATTAGAAACCTTCAAAGCGATCCATATGTCTTCATTTTGAGACTCCCACCCACTCCTGCGCAATGCTTTGTATTTTTTAAGTACAGCCACAATGATACCGCCACCATCCTTTTTTTTACTATGTGTAGTATACCTGTCTCTTCTGAAAATGTCATATCTGTCATCAAAACACTCCCTATCAAAGACAGTCTCGTTAAGCCACGATTCGGTCAACACCAAAATATCATAGTTGTTTGAAAGAACTGATAGATACAATTTCTCTGTTTTGGTTCTGAGGCCTCTGACATTTTGGTAATATATATTAAAATACATTTATAATAATTTATACAATAATAGCATGGTTAACGAGCAAAAGAAAAAATATACTAAGTTAAAGTTTTCAAGAAATCTACACTTTTAACTAAAATGGATGGACTTTCGTTATTTTTACGCACGAAGATACGACCGTTGCGGGTCCAAACGTATTGGTAGCCTTTCTCCTTAGCAGTGGTTCTGGCAGCGGCGTGCAGCTGTTTGTTAGATAGTGTCAGATGTTCCGACACATATATTTGTTGCTGCTTGTTTGCAAAGCCAAGGTGGAGTGCATTTAATTTATCTTCGGCCAGATTTTTTGATTTATTAAATTTAATGACTGCCGCTAGAACAGAATCTCGTACCTGTGGTGTCACCATCTTCACAACAATGTTGCGGGGACGCTCAGAATGGGGCTTAAGTTTAGCCACACGGTGTATAGCGCGGATGGTCATGTCGGGAAGCTCGCAAGATACAGTGCGCAAAAGTTGACTAAATATAGAGAGCAAATTCTCGTTCTTACTCTCTGGAACACACTGTACTTCAATATTGCAGTCTCTAGAGTGCTGCTCCATTTCGGCAACTCTCGAAGTGAGTTCCGACACGGTACTCTGTAATGAAGTGTTTTCGTTCTCCATCTTTTTTAATTTCTGACGAAATTCTGCATTCATTAACACCTGTTCATCCTGACAGCCAGCGAGAAAATCAACTGTATTTGATTTTTCATCAAACTCGTTCTTAAACTGGGTAAATTTATTATTTATAGTAGTGACATCGGTACGAAGTTGCGATAGAGCCGTTCTGAACTGATCGAAACACTCCTGCTGCGCATTGAAACGGTCATTCATATCTCTACGAAGGCCCTCGATCGCCGCCAAGATAGGTGACGATTGCTCACTCACAGACTCCCCAGCCTTAGAGGCTATGACTTTTTTTCGCGGTATCGTGTTAACAGAACCCGCCGACATATTACTGTCGTCCATTGGATTGTTCGGTGTACTCGGCGGGGAGCGCTGCACCCTGGGCATAGTTTGTCGAAAGCACTGGAAGTCGGTTGTGAATAATATATGCAGCAAACAAAATTAAGATACAAGCTTGGAAGCAAACCGGCAAGGTGCATGCGTAGTCGGCCGGTGAATAGATGCAGCAGCGTAGCAGCGTAGCCTAGTGACGTCTATCGATTCATGCGTAGCGTGACGTGAATCGCGTCACGCGTAGCGTGACGTCTGTCGTGTCACGCGTTGCGCGTCAGCTACGTCACCGAGTGTAGACTGTAGCGCGTTATTTCGCCGTAGCAGTTACAAGCTTCGTGGCCGAACGGTATACACGTTGGAACCGCGCTTTCGAACCGCAGGTTCAAATCCAACCCAGTGCAACAAATTGAAAAGACTCACGTAGAATCTCGGCTCCTCCAGCGCGGCACACGCCAGTGGCGCCCCGCTGACAGTAAGTCGACGGCGCACAATGACAGCAGAACGGCCGTCCCTCGACGACCAGTACCTCCAACAGGCGTGAATGGGACAGACGAGCACAATCCAATATGGCGGCGCCGTCAAACGGTGTCCAGCGCAAGATAGTAGGAGAGGGTCCGATCCTCAACGCCGCCAGCAGGCGACTCACCCGCAACAGCAACCAGGACAGCCGCGACAGAGTCAAGATGGCGTCCACGGCAAAGCGGACTCCTCGGAGGACGAAACGAGAGGGTCCGAGAACAATTGATTAGTCGAACCGCACTTGTAAGTTGGTAACGTAAAAGGAATAGATAAATAGATTAAAAACCAGTAAGCCTTTCGATACACGTCCGTCTCGTCAAGATGCTAAGAATCGAATGAATCGTTTACCTTAGTTAAACGAAAACGTGGTACCTTGATTTTGGACTTAGTTCTAAGGTTAACTTCTTGGATGTCTTCTTTCTTAACGAATTTATGTATATTCTTACGGGCATATAAAATATTTGAGTAAATGTACAGTGATAAGTGAGTCATGATACAGTCTCCTTAAACTTTTCACAAATCTTTCTACAAATATTGTTGTGGCTTCACCCCACATGAGAATCCCGTAAACTAGGCTAGCAGTAGCAACATCGGTAAGTTCACGTGTTCTACGGACTGCGCATACAGTAGAGCTTAATCTACTGACCAAGGAAGATATATGTGGAAACCATTGGAGTTTACTATCTAAGGTCACTCCATAGATATAGGAAAAAAGGGTTACTCCCAAAAAGACAGCTTAATTAACAAGGTCTAACTTTTCTACATTTATTTCTATGATTGGGCTAGTCGACTTTACATTTGGTATTTCAAATTTAACACGCTGTCTTCTTGGCATTGAGCAATGAATTATTAATATTAAACCAATAAACTACCTTTGAAAGGATATCATTAATATTGTCACAGTTAACGTCATGTCTGTCTGTTTAAAAAATCAAGGATGTGTCGTCAGCAAACAATACTATATCGCAAAGGTCCCTAACAAAGAATGGTAGGTAGATCATTAATATAAATGAGAAATAAGACATGTCCAAGTATTGAGCCCTGCGGAACACCCATTTTTACAGGAGAACCCAAAGAAGTCGCTCCATAATAATGCGAAAATATATTTTGCTTCACTCTGGGTTTATTTAACGAAAAAATATATTTTGCTCACCACTTGGGATAGTAAAATAAAATAAGTAGATGTATACAAAAGTTCAAGTAGACACTATCGCCCCAAAAATGTACCAAAACAATTTCTACAGAGAATCGAACCTACCGACGGTAGGTCGTACCTATGGTGTATGGGTGTGTAGGGTGTGATGGGGCGCCGAGCGCCGCGTCTTTCCTGACATCGCTCGAGGTGCAAGCGAAGGAAACCAGGCTCTTGCTTCTCAATATCATTTCCGATCACTGGGGAAAGTATACTCTAATCATTCCATTTTGATCGCGTGCCTTCTAGATTCCGCCAGGGTATTGATTGCAGCTGAGCGTTATATAATACATGGGCTAGCGCCGCCGCCTACGCCTGGACATTTTCCCTATGACGACAACTCTACCACAGTATTTTTACTTTGATGTTAAGCGATACGCCGCCTGTGTAAGTACTTGCGCTGTCGTACATCGTCAAAAAATGGAAAAAATGTGATTATTAATGTACCGTAACCATTTATTAACAATAATTAGTATACACAAATTACTAAATCTAGTAATAAAGATTACAAGTGTTAAACTGCCAAATATTTACTTGATACTTAATTTTTAGATGTTTTCAGTTTTCGTATTCGAATGAATAATTTAATCATATAAAATCTGAATATGGCCGTGGTTTTTTAAATCCTACTTAATATTTAAGTCAAATAATTTGCGTAAAATATTGTTTCCTATATTGCATCCGTATACAGAATAGTTTATGTGCGCCTAATGGCAAAACATCGAAAATCGTTATATAATTTCATATATAATTTCGAAGAACTCTGAACGTATTCAAATATATTTTAAAACACGCACACGTCAACCTTTAGTGCTTCATTCGGGAAACTAGGCGGGCATTACTCCCCTCGAGTATCTCGCTGTTGCTCTGCGCGTATGCTTTCGTTGCACAACTGTGATTACCTAATGTTTCGGACCAGTATGTCACTATTTTCCTTCTACGGGAACAAATCAATTAACACTATAAACAAGCAATAAATAAACTGGTTGATTGATAAACACCCACGCGCCGGGCGGGCGGCCGGCCGGGAGACGTGTCTTAATCCAGCGTCAATCAGATCGAAGTCGGATACTGCCGCTCTCTACGTTAAGGAATGGCGACGCAGAGATAAGAATAGTCTAGAATGGGCAATAAAGGCAGTTTCAAAATTTGAAATGGCGTATCCATTAAAGCCATAATATTTGCAAGTAGAACCGGCTAAATCCTAACTACGTACGAGTAAAATTTTAAATAGGTATACAACTGATGACGCCGCTTGGAATATGCACGTGGTTGAGATGTTGAACGATCGCAGGGCCGGCGATAACAGCGCAATCACAGCGCGTGATAAAGCTGAGAGAGCGGGGATAACTATCGAATAACTACACAAACAAGTGTCGCGAGACACATTTGCGGGCGTGAGGTCACTCCGCCGCCGTCGCGTCGCGCATTGCATTCCCACTAAATCTACTTTTAAAGTCTAAGCCCTCAACTGGGGGCTCAGTTTGCCTTTCGCAGCTGAATCGGCAGTGCTTTTGAAAGACAATTCACAAGTGTACGTATTGTTTGGGATTTCTCTTCTTCAGTTATCAACAAAGGTCGCCGACCTAACATTCACACTGATTTTGATTAGTCCCAATTAGTTTCTTATCGTTATGTAGAGGATCGCATTATTAGTACCTAGTGTTAATATGATGTTTATTTTTTTGTTATTCTCTGTAACGGTTGTAGAGTCTACCGTGAATGCGACACCTGCTGTGGCCTTCAACGACGTGCGATCGACAAGGTGAGAGTGAGAAATGGTTAGACAGATACCTGCTTTGTTTAGTAGCCGTCGTCGACGACCGGTTATTTGACACCACGAGTGTTTTATACTCCACTTCTTACTTTGTTGAGTTGCACTATGTTATAACTAGTGGTCGAATAATAGGAGGTTTATTTACTTACCTAGAATTCAGGTGCTAGCTGACATGGAATGCGCTTTAACATCGAATTAGATTGGACATGATTCAAGTTTAAAACTGAATGACACTAAACGTATAAAATGTTATTTGTAACTTTATGAACTGAGATCCTGTTGTTACATACTTGCTCATCGCTACACCTTTAATATGAATAAGTGTGCTAACGGTTTAATAAAACGGAACGTTAGAGTTCAAATTTGACATTTTTAACTGTTTTAATCACAGAAATCTGGTCGTTTAATAAAATCAGCAGAGCTTACATCAAGGGTGCCAAAGCTTTAATAAAACTAAACGTTGAAGATCAAATACGACGATCTTAGCAGCCCCATATCTTTCTACATTAGTTTTGATTATAGTGACCCTGCCTACCGACCCAGAGGTTTTACGAGAAGGGCACTATAACCTGTGCGCGCACAGGAACCTTGTTAGTTCAGGTTCTGACCCCAGATCAGCCAGTGTACACTTACAGGTATGTCACAGACCTCTGTCACTTGACTTCATCCGGTTCTCGAGAGGCTAGTGCCGCGGGTGAGCCGCCCCGGGTGCATGTACAGTAGCCTCCCTATGATCCAGATGGTTACCGGAGCTGTAGGCACGCTCAGTTCCTGTTGCGCATTGCACAACTAGCGATTGCCACCGCTAAGCCGTCGACTTTAAAGTCCACTACCAAATCCTCCTCATTGGAGGCTTCAGGGGAACGTGGGGTATTGGGAGCCCGTGGGTAATGAGAGCGGTGTTAAACTGGACGTTCCCAATGCTCGTATTTGTGCAAACGGCACTCCTATGTCTTCGTTAACGTTCGCCAAGGTTCGAGTCCTGTGGGCGCCCACGTAGAACTCCGCGTTTAGTCGTATGAGATGGCTGTGTGTTTTTCGCTCCGCGCTTATTACTAACTTGCCAAATTTCATCATCCCAGGTAAGCATTAAAATGCATAGATACTACATAATATTTACACTAGCTATGTCACCAAGTCTATCAAATTTTAGAAGTAATGCCTGAAATCACCATATAAATAGAAATGTTTTTAATGTTTTATTCCTTTTTCAATTCGATGTTACGCGGGTAATGAGAAATATTTGGCTCTCCTCATCCCATTGCAATATTCACTGGATATTTCTTTAACACTTTCCTGTTTATTCTCATTACTTTTTAACTTATCTAATTTATTACTTTAATTTTTTTTCAGACTGGTTATACATAATGACTCCCATTTGACATACGGGATTCTTACCGGCTCCCATTTCCCGAACGGTGAGGTAATGGGAGCGAATGACATGTTTGAGTTTTTTCTTTTAAACCAAATACATATTATTTTTTAGTTTCACATTTTTTTCTGTGATTATCTAGTACCCAGATATGTGAAGCGTACGTTCATAAGTAATAAAAATTTAAATTGCATAAATTATGACTTTTATTATCAATTTTCCTTAGTAGGTAGTAGCGTGTTTGTACAAGTACGCTCATTCACGTCACGCCGTCGACGTTTCTCCAGTTTCCCATAACCTAAGCGGTTGGAGGGACAGGAGGATATTGTCTATAGCAGACAAACATATGTCCGTCTCTGCAGCTCACTATAAACCCCAGCGAGTCCATACCATGTCCATACCCAAGTCAGGGTCTATCAGAGACGCCCGTGAAGGCGTATCACTGGCGGAGGGCTTGGCTCGGTCACGCCCGTTGTACCCTGGTCATGCCGTCGAGCGTGTGTAATCTCTCCGGAAAACCGTATCTCTCGGGTCGGTAGACAGGGACAGCTGCGCATAGGGACAACATTAGCAGTGCTCTTTGCTGAGATCGTTCATGTTATCGTGACATTGAATCTGTGTCACACCCTCAACGAGACCTAGCCATAAAACCATCGCACCAAAGTAATAACATACAAACGAAAAATATATCGTTGAAAGGGACTGTCGGTGGAGCAACACAATAACTTAATACAAACACTCAACGTACCCTTTTCTACCGGCACGATGCAGACGAAAATCTCTCCTATTTCCATCAAATATTATTTTTATTAATGTTTGGTAACATTTCTTCTTATCGTATCGATGACACTCTGTAATATGCTTGTCATCGTGGTTAAAGGATTGTAACTGGGCGTAAGGATCTTGCCGATTGCTGCCCAGTGTGCACCAGACGCAAGGGACACTTGGTCCTTCCCCGTGGGAGGAGGCCCCTTGCGTGCACCCCAATAATAAAAGAAATTAAAAGGTTGAAATACCAATAGAGTAAATTACTTGGTTGATATTATAATAATAACGCATAACAATAAATAACGCACACACTCAACATAGCCCCGCACTAGGGAAACGCTGTGTTGCGGGTGCCATGGACACACGTAGACAACCAAAAATTACACCCAAACTCACGAAAGAAATAAATGTAGGCCATACAAATACTTCCCCCGATCCGGGAATCGAACATGGGACCTCTGCGTGACAGGCCGGTATGGTAACCGCTCGGCCACGGAGGCAGTTAAAATGTTATATGCCTACAGAGTGTTTCTGCAACGGAAACAGATAAGATTGAAAAAAAGATTGTTTCATCGATACTTCTTCCGTTAACATATTTAATAATAATAATTTTTGGGGCGTGTCACTTGAGCTGCGTGTTCACGCGCGCTAGACGAACTGAACAGCACTGTGTCGTTACGTTACTATCCACATCCTGGCGCGAGCTCGCGTTCTCGATAATAATATCAATCACTGTACCTGTTATCAATGGCATATCGCGATACCTGCTTATGGTGATTTTTGAAGGAAATAGGCCGGCGAGATTCCAATTCTGGTCTCGCCTCCTTGGTGGAAAAGCACCTCTACGTCTACACGTTACGTATTAGAAAGTAGCGCAAGGTATTCGTAAATGTATATTTTAAAAGTCATGCCATCCCGTGGTTAAAATTTATTTTCCGAAGGCGCTTCCACGGTTTGATTCACGCGAAAAAGTGAATTTTAGGTAGAAAAGCATCTACACTGCTTATGATATACTGCTATTTTGGTGGCCTATAAGAAACAATAAAATTTTTCGTTGCAGCATGGCTTCAATAGATTACGCGAAGGTGCCCATCCAGGAGAAGCCGTTGCACACTCCACCACTCCAAGAGATTGTTAAAGGTAGCAAATCGAAACAACTACATAATGAAGCCACTTTTTTACGATTTCTTTTTATCAGAGCTTTTATAGCACACGAGAAATACATTAGAACGATTTGTGGAATTTGACTGGATCAAACATGCAGATCGTTGCCACAACCGTTTATTATATATTTACATTTTGTGTCTGGTACGAAAACACATCATTAAATGTATTATCTATTAAGTGACGTGAACTAGAGTCCGCGGAAACCCGAATAGACTTGTACTTCACAATATCCAATGAGTGCTAGACATGGCTAAAGTTACACAAACTTACACAATTAGTTACCTACATGAAAATAATTTCTATGACATGAATGAAATATTTTATTATTATCTGAGGGACTCTACTTCATGGGCCTAACTAGCAAAACACTACCAGACTATAGCAAGATAAGGGCGGCGCGCACCGTTGATGTCGTCCGGGTGATTTGGACCTTTTGAATTTTCTATCAAGTGTTGCAGGCAAGTGCAGGTTAGATTTAAAGATATCCTAGAGGTTATTTGGAACAACAACGATAGTGGACAAAATTATTATCAGCGCACAGGGTGCTGACAGATTGACTGCATGTTTGCAGTTAATGCGTGAAGTTAATAACGACTTCACGCATTAATGTCGATCTCGGCTGCACCAGTTTTCGACTGCATGCAATTAATGCGTGCAGTCGTTATTCGAGACCTTGACTGCGTGAAATCGTTATCAACTTCATGCAGTCGGCTGCATGAATTTACGACTTCACGCATTAACTGCAAACTTGCAGACAATCTGTTAGCAGCCTTAAACTAACGAATAAGAGGAGTTAGAGGAAGTAGTACAGTAGGAAGATGCAGACGACTTGGGAAAAGGCAGAAATTTATTTAAAAAAATTATGCCAGTATAGTTTAAATTTTATTTACAGCTACTTTTTATTTGTATTCTAATCGGTGTAATGTCTGCAGTGCTATCGCGCGCTTTGCCGGCTACATTTGAGTTTGTGGAGGCATCCGTGGCCGACACGCCAGACCTCACTCGACCGCCTTTTCTTCTTACTTCACCAGGTACATATTATGTATACTAGTCTCATTTATTTTATTTAATAATATTGCGTTTTAAAGTAAGTAAACACTAAGTTCCAGTATAAAATGTAGTGAATAGCCAGGTGCCAGGTTTTTTTTTGCAGGTATTTCAAAAAACATTGTACAAAGCAACCTTTTTTACATTTTAACTTGGACTCTAAACTCTTGGTGTCAGGACAGGCAAGATCAATTTAAAATGGACCAGCTAGCTCCGACTCATAGAACTAAAAAATTTGGCGACTTTTGGAATAAAACTAAACAAATGAATGTAAAGCCTGGCCTGCCTGTGAGTGTGGGGGACAAGTCTGACTGTGGTGAAATTGTGGAGACCTTTAGAGAACATTTCACTGTTAAATCGCGGTTGGATGTACAAACTTCTCGTGGGGTAGGGCTCGGTGCTGGGACCGTCGGGGGCAGGCGTATTACCCATTTTACCGCTAAAGAGATTAAGACGGTAATTAATAATATGCAGAGGGGTAAGTCGCTTGTCTCGATGGTTTTAGCGTTGAGCACTTTAAGTAAGCGGGGGGTATATCTACCACGTGTTCTCTCTATGCTATTAAGCTTTTGTATGGACCACGCCTACCTTCCAGATGCACTCATGAGGACGTTTGTTGTACCGGTTGTTAAGAATAAAACAAGTGACCTATCTGACAGAACGAATTATCGGTTTCGCTTGCCACCACTTTTTTAAGTGCCGTTCCAGTATATGCTGGACACTATACTGGAACGGCACTTAAAGTTTCATGACGCCCAATTTGGTTTCAGAGCGGGGCTATCCACAGATAGTGCGATTCTGTGTCTGAAGCATACGGTCAGGTATTGTACAGATAGGAAAACTCCCGTGTATGCTTGTTCTCTCGACTTGTCAGAAGCATTTGATCGAGTCAACTATGATCTGCTATGGCAAAAATTAAGTGAGACAGGCGTACCGGGGAATGTGTGGCATTATTTAGGCACTGGTACAGCAATCAGAAAAATCAGGTTAGGTGGGATCTGCTGAGTACAAACTGGAGTGTGAAGTAAGGCAGGAGGATTACTTCACCGAAGCTATTTAACCTGTACGTTAACGAACTGATAGGCGGGCTCAGCAGCATGCATGCAGGATGTTACGTGGGAAGTATTTGTATAAATAACTTAAACTATACTTATGATATGATGCTGCTTAGCCCGTCGGTCAGTGCGTTGATGCAGATGCTTGAGACTTGTGAGGAGTATGCCATGGAACATGGATTAGAATACAACCCGAAAAAAAGCAAAGTCATGGTGTTTAAGGCGGGTAAAATTAAACCGTATTATGTTGAATAGAGTTCCGTTGAAGGTCACAGATAAAGTAAAGTATCTTGGTCATATTTTAACAAGTGATCTAAACGATGATCTCGATGTTGAAAGGGAGCGAAGGGCGTTGGCGGTTAGGAGTAATATGCTTACCCGCAGATTTCCTCGATGCTCCTACGAAGTTAAAATAACGCTTTTTAAAGTTTATAGTCAATCTTTTTACTCGAGCAGCTTGTGGGTTAGGTATACTAAACGAGCCTTTAACGCCCTATGCGAGCAATATAATAATGCATTTAGAATGCTGATGGGACTACCAACGTGGTGTAGTGCATCGGGTATGTTGGCGGTGGCTCACACGGGCAATTTCCAGGCCTTCATGCGCAAAAAGATTGTCTCGCTGATGAGTCGCGTGAGGTTCAGTACTAACAGCATTCTAAATGCTGTAGCGGGAAGGTGTGATTGTCCTATCTTGAAACATTGGATAGTGCTAGTTAAGGGCGTAGCCCAGTTCGAAATGTAATTGAGTTGCAATGATTATTACTAACCTTGATATAAGTTCTTTTACTAACATACTATGGATATTTTATGGTCCGAAATAAAGAATTATTATTATTAAAACGGAACTTCGACACACGCTACTCCGACAATACGTTACTTAGACATGATTTCACTCAGACACTGCGCTACTTCGACAACACAGACGAGATGTTTCTTAACAATTTTTAATGCTACTAGACTCAGTTTCTTAAAAGGATGACTTCTCTGTACCGGAAGAAAAAAATCGGGACAGCAGAAGTTGGTTAAATTTTATAAAATGTA